TGCCAGATTGCAACTGGAGTTGCAGCTAGCAAGGGATGTGAAAGGTAACAAGAAGAGTTTCTACAAGTAGGATGGAAGAATCCCTGGGAACTGCTACAGCCTGGGGACTGAGCAGCCTGGGGACTGGGTGGCTAGGCAACAGCTCTGCAGAAAAGGACCTGGGGTTATAGCGGACAACAAAATGGATATGAGTCAGCAGTGTGCCCTTGTTGCCAAGAAGTCTAACAGCATACTGGGCTGCATTAGTAGGAATGTTGCCAGAAGATCAAGGAAAGTGATTCTTCCTCTCTATTTAGCACTAGTGAGGCCACATCTGAAGTACTGTGTCCAGTTTTTGGCACCCACTATAGAAAGGATGCGGACAAGCTGGAGAGAGTCCAGCAGAGAGCAACACAAATGGTTTGGGGGCCGGGGCATATGACTTATAAGCAGGGATCCTGGTTTTCCCTGATAAAAAAATCACAAATTCTCTGTTTAAAAAAAACCAAATCTGTGATTAAAATTAAAGGCCCCTCACACCCTCCCCTTAGCCCTGCTAGTGCCCCTCACTCCCTACCCACAGCCCGCTGGCCCTGCTCATGCCTCTCACTTCCCTGCGCAGCCCCTACAGCTTTGCTGATGCCCCTCACCCCCACCAACAGTCCCTGCTCCCCCAGTCCTGCTGGAGGGGGCCTGTAGTTGCCAGTGCTATGGACCCTGGTCCACAACCGCCTGCTCCCCCCACTGCTGCGGGCTCAGATGGGCCAGCTCCCTGCTGCTACGTGCACTCCTGGGGGGCAGGGGGAACCGGCACCCCCCAGATCTGTATTCAGGGCAGGCGCAGGCTGTGGGCTCCCACCCTGCTTCCCTGCCCCGGGGCCTCTGCAGCCTGCCAGGCAAGACCTGGATGGCAGGCAGCAGCAGGGAGGTGCGAGGATCTCCTTGCCTCGGCTCATCCCCCACACTGACCTGGTGACATGCCTCCTATGCCTGCCACTGCTTTGAGGAGAGCCTGAGCCAGGCGAGGTGAGCAGTGGCGAGAAGATCCCAGCACCACCCCACTGCTACCTGCCATTTCAGGTCATGCCCGCTGGGCTGCAGAGGCTGTAGGGGAGTGAAGCAGGGCAGAGCTGGCAGCAGCAAGCAGTTTCTCAGCGCGGGCTGCTCCCTGCTTCCCACATCCTGCACCTGCCCCATGCACAGATCT